TGGGCAGCTGATCATGGGAAATCCAGCTGCCTTAGCCACCAAGCAACCAGCTGGCCCAAGCCTATGTTTCAAGAACCTCCTGGCTTCCAGTCATCCTGTTTTACCTTGAGTCCCTGGCATACTTAAGAAATGGAGCAAAGGAGACTTGGCATCATAGCCTAGTGGTTAAGGAAGCCAGATCTCACTGGCTAACTGTAGTTCAAGTTCTGGCCCTGGAAGCGTAAAAAGCACTCTGTACATGTGTGCATGCACATCCCAAGTTCTGACAGCATTGAAAATGGAGGCAGGATTGGAGGTTGGCCATGCCCTATTGGGGAGACTTCCGCCCCCTTTGTCTCTCTGTCTCTGGCAAATATACCTATCTTCTGGCAATTTAAATAAACTTAATAAAAACTCATGGAAGCAAAACAAATGGTCAAGAAACATGTAAAAATGTTAACCTAGGGACCAGCAGTTGGTGTAATGGCTATGTCACTGGATTCCCCAGGTAATCGAATGCGGTTTGAGTCCTGGTCCAGTGGCTTAAACTCACGCCGGGTGCATGTGCGTGTGCGTGCCTGCCCAAGATCGCAAGAGGAGAATGGAGGAGAAGGGATTGCGGTGTGGCCATCTCCCCTGGGGGGTGATTTCTCGCTTTCTGTCTCTCTGTCTCTCTCTCTCTCTTTCTGGTGAGTGAATGTGCCCTATAGCAAAAACCTCTCAAAAATAAAAATTGTTAACCTATGCATTAAAAAGTACAAAATAAAATAATGTAATCAAAAAGCACCAAGTAAAAATATCAATGTAGGGGCCGGCAAGGGACCTGGTGGTTAAGGTGCTGGACTCCCACATGGCTGATGGGATTCAAACCCCAGACCTACTGGCTTGCTTTCTCACTTTCACACTCTCACACTGTCTGTCTCTTTCTGGTCACATTAAAATAATGAAAAGAATAATAACAATAAATTTTAAAAAGTAAATCGTTCAAAAAAAAAACAATGTAAAGAAGCAAATCAAGAATTCAGTGAATTCAGTGTGAAAAAACATGTTTCCCTTCCCCTTATCTTGCATCTGTACAGGTGAGCTTAAGTTTTCATGTAATTCTCTTAAACTCTTGGGGAGTATGAGTTTATACTCTTGAAGTAGTAAATCATTTTTATTTTTTTCTACTTCGTTTTATTTCATTTTTTTAATGAACATGAATTTTGTATAAGCATATGTAGATTATAGTTCTAAGCACCATTATATATTATATAAAATGTTTATTAAAATCATTTTCTATATATTAATTATGTATACCATACATTTGTAGCCAAAAACTATTTTCAAGAATTATTTATTCAATTTTTTTATTATTATTAAAATCATTTTAATTTGCTATAGGGCACACGTGTGTGTGTGTGAGAGAAGAGAGAGAGAGAGAGAGAGAGAGAGAGACAAAGCTGCCAGGTCTGGGACCCAACTGCGGTTGGCCATTTGGGAGTTCAGTGCCCTAACCACCATGCAAACTGCTGGCTCCCTCCAAGAATTGTTTTAAGTTAATATACCAAAAGGCAAATAGTAGCTCTCTTTGTGGTAAACAAATGGCTGGAATAAAAGGAAAAAAGTTACTTTTTAAAAAATGTCAATGTTAGCATGACTTCTTTTTTGCTCAGCAAGTAAAAAATATTCTACTCACTGTCTTTCTTTGATTCTGACTGTAAGGTCTGAGAATGTACCAGGAACCTCACTCTCACCGTCTTCTACCTGGCATTGTGTACACGATAAACATGAATGTATTTTGTTTCACCTCTACAGATTTCCAGCCTTTTTGATCAGTTTTTCAGGAAACAGAGGCTTTGCTCTCTGTTCTAGTGGTTGTTTTTATTTTTAAAAAGTTTTTAGAGAGATTTTTTTTGCTAAGGTGCATGAATGCTCTCCGGAGAGATAGAAAGAGAGAAATCACTCCCCCAGTGGGGATAGCTATGCTGCAATCCCTTCCCCTCCATTCTTCTCTCGAGATTTTGGGCACTCATGCACATGTGCCTGGCGTGAGTTTCAAGCTGCCGGGTTCAGGACTTGAGCTGCAGTCAGCCATGTGGGAGTCTAGCACCTTAACCACTACTGGTGCCAGTCCTAGTAGTTCTTAAACATTCAGTGACCGTGGCCACCTTCTGTTAACTAGTGGCACCAGAGCAGTGGTTTTTCTCAGTTTGGTCCCCATTCAGCTGCCTCAGGCTGTACCCGAGACTGGCTGAAGAAAAACTCTGGGTGTTGGGCCTGGTCCTGTGCTTTAATGAGCCTGGTACGTATTTTAGTGAGGCTGCCAGGTGAATCTGACCCACATTAAGCCCCAACAAGTCTGACTCTGCAGCTTTGCTATGGAGGCCATGATGGAGCCCAGCTGGGAGGGACCCTTGTGCCCACTGGAGGGAAGCAAAGGGCAGCGAACAGAGGCAGTCCCATCAGGCAGCTCAGTAGGCTCTGGCAAGGGACTGTCCCCAGCCAGGTGCAGATGCAGCTTACAGATGGGGGGACACCTTGAGGGGAACTCGAATTCCTCATGGAAGTCAGATCAAGCTGGGGATGCAGGGTGTGGTTGGACCAGTGAAAGCAGAGTCCTGGTCTAAGGATGAGGAGATGAAGGAGAATCCAAACTTGATGCAGATGTCAGCTAATAAGCTAAGTAACCAGTGACTGAAGATGATCTGGGTCTACATCAGACCTGCCGGAGTATTCTCCTCAGGTGTAATGTTACGAAGCTTATAACCCCAGCAGTAGGACTTATATTTCTAGTTCTTAAATTTACAGATTGGGCTGGCTACATGTGCCGATTATGTGGTTTGAATCCCAGCCCCGACATTGAAAAACATGATGAGTGCATGTGCATGACCCAAATCCCAAAAGGATGGAAAAATAGAGAAGGGATTGTGGCCATGACCATGCCCCATTGGAGTGTGCTTTCTCCCTATCTCCTGTCTCTCTGTCTCTCTTTGATAAGTGCACATATCCTTTGGCAAGTTAAAAAGAAGAAATTTACAGGTAATATCAGAGCAGGGTTTCATAGGCATATTCTGTCTCCTGCTCCCTCTTGCTGTGTCCATAGGTTTCCAGTATTGGGAAGCTCTGAAGAATAAAGGGTACTAGGTAGGTAATCTAAAATTCTTCATTTTAATTAGTCACTCCCCCAAGGTCAAGGCAATAGTGTGCTTATGACTGTTGTCCTTACCAAATGATGTAATGAATGCGAAGGTCCTTTATAAGCTGTGCATATGCTTCAAATGTAATCTATACTTTAACTAGAGCCTTCATGACTGGATTTTGCATCCCTGTGTCTCCATAGACTATCAATTCTTCTAACATACTCATTTATTTTATGGAGGGTGGTGTGGTTAATTAGAATGGAAAATAATAGATTTGAGTCAACCTTTGCTTGACCAATGACTAACTACATGACTCGGCTGGTTATTTATCTTGGTTAGCCTCAAGAATAAAGCTGAGCTCATAAAATCCATCACCAGGATTAAGTGGAATAATATACATAATAGGCTTGACATGTAACAGCCAACAACCACTCTAGCCAACTTTGACTTTTAAACACAAGCAACGGAAGTCAAGGAAGGGCTTAAAATAGAAGACAGTGGTAGAGTTTACATTTGTGCCGTTTCCCTGTTCAGAGCCCTACAGGACTTCCCATCTCAGAGCAAGAGCCAGAGTCCTTAAGTGTTCTCTAAAACCAGATTTTTAGAGGCTTAGTCCTCTGTAATACCCCTGCCCTCATTTCCTACTTCTCCTACTTCTTCCCTCTCCCTATGTAGTTACACTGGCTTCAGAGTCACTCAAATGTCACCCTTGGGGGATGCTGGGACTCATGCAGCAAAATGTGTTTTTCTGAGTGTGTGTGTGTGTGTGTGTGTGTGTGTGTGTGTGTGTGTGGTGGGAGGGGGGCTGTAGATTAGGAATAAACATAAAAATAAACACACAAAGACATACAAGTATAGAAAAGCAAGTATCGTGTGGGCCCGACTTCTTTGATGGAGAAAGTTGTGACCCTGAATTGGTCTCGGGTTTATTATTTTATAGGGCAGAAAAAGAGGAAATGGAATGCAAAGTCAATTGTTTTCAGGTGTTAATTGGCTGATGATGGGAGGACTGGAGCCATGTAATTCCTCTGATTTTTTGGGACTGATTCTTTTTTTTTTTAAAGAATTATTTCTTATTTAACTTCATTTATTTATTTATTTATTTTTAATTTGACTAGAGAGAGACAGAGAAAGAGTGAGAAAGCAAGCCGCCAGGTCTGGGACTTGAACCACAGTCAGCCATGTGGGAGTCTAGCACCCTTAACCACCATGCCACCTGCTGGCCCCTTTTGGGGCTGATTCTGATAAACACATGTCATTTCCTTAAACCTGATACTGCTCTGCATTATTGTAACAACACATAGCTAACATGTTCATATGTCAATGCTTTCATTGCTATGCAAATGATAGCTCTCAGAACTGCATTTCTGGATGTGTCTAAAGTCACCTGTTTGCTCAGACTGGGCTGCTCCTGTAGGGGAGGACTTCTTTGTTACCCCCCTTCATTGCTTCATTTTTCTCCTTCCACTTGTTATCTAGTGTACACTTTATTTTAGTGATCTGTCTCATTCACTGTCTTGTTCCTTACGGAAGGGCTACTAGGCTGAGGAGTAGGTGGTTGCCTCTCTTGCTTGTTGCTTTGTCTCCAGGGCCTAGAGTGCTGCTTGGCATGTGGTAGGCACTTGTTAATTACCCACCAGATGACTCAGGACTAGAACTCTGCCAATTACACCATCATAATAGCTAAGATTTATAGTGTTCCTTGCATCGACATGGATTTTACATGCATAATATTGTTCATTCAAGAGAAGATGGGCAATAATTTTGTACAATAGTGGGATAATTCAGTCTGCATTCACACCCTCTTCCCTACCCTGTTTTCCATTATATTGGCCTTTTTGAATGGCGGAGCATGCGTAAGTGTTCAGGGGTAATAGCTCCGGGTGTCTTGTGTTTCAGAGCAGAGTGGCGGCCCTTTAGAAGTCTGGGCTGATCAAGCACATCGTCATGAAGGATACCCCAAAGCTGATTTGGGAACTGAAGTTCACTTGAAGCTCAGTTCAACGTTTCAAACCCTCGGCTCTCTAATAACATCTGAGAACATCACAGTGCACCAAAGCTGGAGGTAACCCAGTGCACTCTCACCTAAAATCCTCATAATGTGTGAAGCTCTAGTCAACACTCATTGTACAATTTGTTGTTGGAAACTTCAAGTTCAACTTGGTCTGGCTGCCTGTAACACACATCTTGAGAAGGTAGGTAGTGCCAGTCCGTTCTCCTGCAAACCACACTCATCAGGCTACTAGGATGCACAGGTGCTCTAACTACTACTAAAAAATTATATATATTTTTTCCTTTTAAAACACATACATTTGTTGACTGGAAATATGTCAAAATAGCTGACTGGCTTTAGTCTTTAGCAATCTAAAAAGGCAAGGGAAACAAAGCAAGAGATGCCTTGTAACTCTGGACCTTCTGAACACATGCAGTTAAAAATCAAAATTCATCATGTGCTAGGAAAAGTTGTGCAAGGTTCCTAAATCAGGGTTCTCTTGCCAGGGGTTGTCTTCTGAGAAATATTTTCAAAATTTCCATTGCGTTATTACGATGGTGAAGTCCCACACTCTGGTGTTCAGCTGATGAACTGCCATCAGTGCCTCTTACATTATCTCTACTGTGGTCCCCAAGGCTGAGGAACATCCAGGCAGGCTGGAGAAGTCAGCTGCCCCTAGTTAATCGGTGAGTGTCTGGGTGCTGGGCTACAACTCACGCCAGGACATGGGCCAAAGAGTGTGGGAGGGAATTGGGTTTTGGGTCAAGCCACTTGAACAAAGTGAAGGAGAGGGAGAGAGAGAGAGAGAGAGAGACCTTACACGTAAGAGGAGTGGGGGTCAATGTCTAATGGGAATGGGCTGACAGGGTGTAAGATTTCCAAATATTTATCTTCTCCTGGATCGGAGTGTTTTCTGTCCCCTGAGAAGTCTTATCTATGAATAGATGCTTTGTTTTGTTTTGCTATAGGGACACATGCAGAGAGAAAGAGAGAGGGAAAGTGAGAAATCACCCCCCCCCAAGGGGATGCCATGCCATAATCCCCTCATCTCCATTCTCCTCTCGGGATTTTGGGCACTCATGCTCATGTACCCGGTATATTTTCCAAGCTGCCAGGTCTAGGTCTAGAACCACACAGTTGGGCACATCGGATCCAGTGCCTTAACCTGCAAGCTACCTGTTGGCCCTGAATAGATGCATTTTCTATGAAAGAGACCCCGTGTGCATTTTCTCTTCACCTACATACATTATTCCTGTTTCTTCACCACACTCTGCCCCTGAATTTCCCAGAAGGAGCAAACAGAGGGGAGAAAAGATGGCTCAATATGGCCCTGGAGACCCTGTTCCTACTATCCCGTGGTAAAGTCATAATCGGAGGACTCACTTTTTTCCTATCTCTGTCTCCTTCCACCAAGAACAGCAGGATTTTGTCTGCAGCAGAATCATCAACAGAGTCTTTGGAAAAATTCTTAGCCTTGCTATTTCCATCTCGACCTGACCGACAAGACCCAGGATTCTTTACATTTCTGTCTTATGCTCCAGAACTGCACCACTGGCCTAATTAGCTCATGCATGGACTTTACTGGATAGTTTAGTTGCTTATGTGCTTTTTCCCTATCAGCCACAGGTATTGATCCAGGCTTTTTCTTTAGCTTTTACATCGTTTTTGATGTATTAATTGTGATATTTATGGAAAACACATACAAAATAAGTGGCGGAGCCAGCAGGTGGCATGGTGGTTAAGGTTCTGGACTTCCACATGTCCAGCTGCAGTTCAAGTTCTAGACCTGGCAGCTTGCTTTCTTTCACTCTCTCTCTCTCTTTTTCTGGTGAGTGCACATGTCCTAAAGCAAATTAATAATAATAATAATAATAAATAAAATTAAATAATTCTTTAAAAAAGAGTGGAGACGAAAGAAAATAAAACACAATCCCACCACTTAAGAGTCATTCATTGTATGTTTCCTCAGTCCTTTTCTATAGTTTTTACACAATTGACATAATTTAGCATATAACATATTGTCTTTTCACCCCCATATCATAAAGTATTTCCAAAGTCAAAAAATATTCACAGATCTTATTTCCATGGCATCACAATATTCCTTCAAAGGGTATTTGACCGTTTATTGAATGAGTCTCCTAACATAGTGTATTTAGATTGCTTCCAGTTTTACCCCTGCAAATAACAATTAAATATGTATCTAATCTTTGTGTACCTTTCAGGTTAAATTCTCATAGTGTTTTATTAGAAATGGAGGTATCGGAATTGAGAGTGAAAACACTTGAACGTCACTCTTATACATTGCCAAATTGCTTTACAAAATCTTTACTTTCTACTCATACCACAGGCTATGAGGCTGTTCTCAACACACTTACAGCTATTATAATTTTAAAATATTTCTTAATTTTATTGGTGAGAATCTATTTCTCCTGGTAGTTTGTTTATATATGCATTCACCAAGGACAAAGTGTGTTGCCTGTTTGTTGATTATCAGTATTTCTTCTCATGTGAATACCTCTTGGTTTCCCATTTATCTAGGAAGAAATCATCATGAAATTAATTCCCTGTTGTGTCAGAAGGAATGATGCTATTTAGGAGTCTGGAAGTAAGACTAAAATCAAAGCTGGGACAGCTGCATAGCCATCATGGTTGAAGAGGCTAGGGAAAAATACGCAGTCACACACAGCAAGATGGCCAAGCAAACACTGAGCCAAAAGGCAGGGCAGTTGAGGACTGAGATCATGGATCCAGATGCTCCATTCATAGAGAATGTTGGCCCAGGCTAAAGGCAGAGAATTTTGAGGACCTGCGTGGAACTGGGCACCAGTTACACAAAGACTCTTCAGAACCTAGTACTAACTCTGTCCTGTAGCAGAGCCAGAGGTTAAAGTGTGTCTTCTGTTCAGTTTGCTCAGTACTATGTTTGTAAGAGAAGTTAAGAAGGTTACAGTAAAAGCTAGGTAGAAATCAGAAAGAAATGTAGGGAGCCAGCAGGTGGTGTGGTGATTAAGGGGCTGGACTCCCACATGGCCTACAGCAGTTAAGTCCCAGACCTGGTGACTTGCTTTCTCACTCTCCCTTTATCTCTCTCTCTGGTGAAACTGAATAATAACTAAATAAATAAACAAATAAATAAATAAAATTAAATAAATGATCTTTTTTTAGTAGAAAAAGTTAAAAAAAAAAATTGGAGAACTGTCACCTTCCCTAACAAGCTAATGCTTCTGGGCCAGAGAAAGCTAGGTCTTCCCAAGTGCAAGCCTCAGGTCCTTTGTCTAAACTTTAGTAAATGTCACCTGAACACTGACTCTATGGAAGCCACTTCTATGAGTACTTGTTTTTAGCAATGAACAAAAGAGGCAAAGGTCCTTCACCTCACAGATAGCTAACTACAAACTCTAAATGTGATTTGAAAAAAAATATTTTCAGGACAGGATCTTACTTAGGGCATTGTGCAAGTGTTATTGGACATGGATATCTTAGGGCTCTTTCCTTAAAACCAGGCAAAGTGCTAGATGCTGGGGTATAGCAGGCAGGCAGAGACAGCTCACTGCCTTGCAGTTCATCATCCGGCAGAGCAGGCACCCACAGACATCTCTCCCAGATACAAGCTCACTTCCTTGCATGGTCGGTCACTGGGAGGAAGATCGGTGCATAGGATTTTGAAACTCTAATGGGAGAACTGGGCCTAGCTCAGCCGGATGAGAATTGAACTAAGATTTGAAAGAGGAAGGGGATGCCCAGATGCAGCTGCAGCTCTTCACCCAGGGCAGTCAGTGAACAGCCTCTTCCTAGAGAGGCCACAAGGCTCTGGGGCTGTGTGCACAGTGAAGCCACCTGGAGAGCGGGTCCTGAATGGAATCCACATGATGGCTGCCAGGGGCATGAAAGTGCATAGTCTGATCTGGGTTCTGAGTGACTAAAGGGCATTAATTCAGGTACGACCCTCTGCCTGCTATTTTTCTTTTCATTTTTTTTCTTTTATTGTAGAGATTTTTGCCATAGGGCCTGTGTGCTCACTGCAGAGAGAGAGAGAGAGAGAGAGAGAGAGAGAGAGAGAGTGAGTGGGAAGGTGAGAAATCATCTCCCGGGGGATGGCTGCTCCACAATCTCTTCTCCATTCTCCTCTACTGATCTTGGGCACTCATCCACATGTGGGTGCATAATTTTCAAACCATGATCTGGAGCTCAAACTGTGGTTGGCCATGTGAGAGTCCAGTGATGTAACCGCTAGCCATCTGCTGGCCCCCCTGCCTGCTATTAAGCTGTGTTCTCTCAGCCCCACCCCACCTGTGTATACAGTGCCATTGGTAATACTCAACTTCGCCTTTGCCTCTTGGTCCCTGTCCGGTTCTAGGAGGCAGCACTAAAAGGGGCACTGGAAGTCAGGAGGGCAGAAGGACGGGCGCTGTGGCCCCTTGCCCTTCCTCACAGGGTCACACTGGCATCAACACTTTTCTGCAGCAATTACTTTCAACCTTCCCCTTCCACATTCCAGGAAGCGGCCTCGCTGTGGCCCCTCCAAACGTCAGGGCCAGCCATTCAAGGTAACCTGGGAGGTCTGAGCCCCTGTCCACCGTTGGCGGACAGAGAAGCCCAGAGCTCCAGCAGCAAAGGGCCGACCCGGTGAGGACCCAGGCTGTGGTCACACGGAGGTCTCAGCCTTCGCTGCACGTCGGAATCCCGGGGAGCTCTGAAAAACCCCAAGACCGGGGCACTCACACGCTAGAATCAGGGGTGCGGGGAGGGACCCAGGCTCCTACAGCTCCCAAGGGCAATTCTGTGGTGCGGCGTAGCCCGAACTGCTGAAGGGGAGTCGGCGACAGGGGCGTGACCGGTCCGGATCCAGGGCGCCTGGCCGCCCCCCCGCCACGAAGACACCAGCCAGAAAGTGTCCCTATTTTTGAAACTGATGGTTGAGAGATACCTGCCCATTTCAACTTGTCTAGGCCTATATGTCCCGAAATCCGCCGGGTTCAGATCTGGGATGAAGGAGAAAGCAGCCCATCCACTGGAGCAAACGCGGAGCTGGGGTGAGCCCGCCCCACCACAGCCCGGAGCCGGCAGCGCGGCTGCTCTCGGCCGCGTGACCAGGTCCCAAAGCTGCACAGGGCGCGGCGCAGTGGGCTGCACGGGAGGGGCTGTCAAGGAAAGTTTCCCAGCGACAGGACCCGGTCTCCCCGCCACCAGCCTGCGCTGTTTCCGCCGTTCTGTGCCCGCCTCGGGCAACATTTATATTGTTTTGGAAAAGAACTGCGTCCCTTGCTCGCCCAGGCAGAGAACAAAGCACCACACCAGTCACCCTCTGCTGTCCTTTGGCCGCCGGGTCGCCGCTCTGCGCCTGCAGAGACCTGGCTGCTGGTTACGCAAACACACCACGTGCCTTGCATTCCGCTCAGGGCTCACAAAGCCTTCCTCCAGCCCTCCGCACCAGCTGTCCGGGCACGGGGAGCGCTCCGGATGAGCGCATTCTGACCCCGGCCTGGCCTGCTGCTGACTCACTCCTTTACTATGGGCGAGTCACTCAGCGTCGCTGCACGCCTGGGTGCCCCTATTTATAAACCCGCCGCGGCAACCCTGCCTTCCTGAGCCAGATGCAGCGGGCGGCGCTCCAGGACGCTCCGCGGATACTTCAAGCCCTGCGCTAATCCGCAAACCAGGCGGGCGGGAACAGACCCGGTTAGGAGGACTAGTGGTGAGGACCGTCTTCCTCCACTCTGCATTCCTGGGAAAGAAACCACACAGAAGTGCGGGCGCTTTTTCTACCCGCTTTGAAACAGCGTTACAACTTTCCTGATTATGTTCTCATTGCTAAAAACCACACAGTACAGAAGTACGAGAATGGAGAAGAGACTGCAGCGTGGCCAGCACGCCCACCGTGATTTCTCGCTTTCCTTCTCTGTCTCTCCTTCTCTCTCTGGTGAGCACACACACCCTATGGCACAAACTTAAACACACACACACACACAAAATACTAGCAATCAGATAAATATGAAAAAGTGAAGATGACAAATGAAATGGACAGATATTTTTAATAATCTTGATTGCACACTAAAGTGGGGGGGATGACATTTTTATCTCCTACTGATGAGAGAATGATTTGCGGTGGCTTTTTTGGAGCCGTAATTGCTTCTATAAATCAAAAACCTTAAGATGTTCTTAAAAATTGACCCAGTACTTCGACTTCTGGAACTTTCCTAGAGAAGTAATCAGACATATTCCTAATGATTTTATGTGTAGGGCGTTTCTATAAGAAATAAGAGAATAAAGACTTCAAACATTCAATGAAATGGTACGAGTTGTGTAAATTATCCAGTATTGATACACTAAGATTCTACAGGCTCATTATAAAGTTATTCCTTGGTAAAATATTAATGCTATATTATGAAAGGCATTTTACAAAGCAATATATACAATATTATCTCATTTACTTTATTTCACATATACTTAGGATAAAAATCAAAAGTATAGTGCTCGCTTCGGCAGCACATATACTAAAATTGGAACGATACAGAGAAGATTAGCATGGCCCCTGCGCAAGGATGACACGCAAATTCGTGAAGCGTTCCATATTTTTCATGGGCTATTTGAATCCTGAAAAAAAAAAAAGTATATACAACAATATAATAGCAGTGGTCACCGCGTTATGGAGCACAGTTTTTACTTTTATTGTGCTTTTAACTTTTTTCTCTAAAGAGTGACAATCATGCAAAATGCTACTTTAAAAATAAATCAACTTAGGGCCAGCCAGGTGACAGGATGGTTAAGGCGGCTGGGTACTGCATGGCAACCTGCATGGTTCAGGTCCTGGATCTGACGGCTTGGATAGTATGATGAGCGTGTGTCACTACATGCCCAAAATCCCAAAAGGAGGGTGGAGGGGAGGGGACTATGGCCCGGCCACCCTCCCTGGGGAGGGCTTCCTCACTCTCTTTCTTTCTCTCTCTGGGAAGCACACATGCCCTACAGCACAAATAAATAATCAACTTGTGTACTTACGTAAATCACAAGAACATACATGTAGAAAATAACGAGATAATCACGTAATTTTTGCCTTAACTTTGCCTTAGTGATAGATTTCTCATTATTCCAAACAAAGGAAGAAATACATAAACTACCCAATCAAGATAAAAGTGGGAGAAAAGTTCTTTAAAGAAAAGGAACAAGGAAATAATAAAATATATACTAGAAGTAGTCAAATTAACAGGACATATGTAATAATTGATAAAAAAAAACCTGCTAGAAAAATAACTGAAATGGAAAGATTTGTAGCAAATCTATTTAAGAAAAAAGAATGAAAATGCACAGATGAAGAGCATTTTACAGTTTACAATGATAAAACAATGTATCATATTACTAAAACTTGTGTTTTTGTTAGTGTATATACAAGACTGGAAAGGGAAAACTCACCAAAATGTTAGCAAGTATTCTCTTTGTGTGATAACATTACAAGTAATTTTATTGTATTATTTATATTTTTATGTATTTCTCAAAATCCCTTAAAAGGGCAAGTATTAAAATTATAAAAAGAATAATAGGGCCAGCTGGTGGCACAGTGGTTAAGGCAGGTAGATCTGACATGGCTGATTGCATGGTTTGAGACCCAGACCCAGTGGCTTTAGAAACATGCCAGGTGTGTGTACATGCATACCCAAATACCTGAAAGGGGAAGAAAACAGAGGATAAGGGATTTTGGAATGAACATTCCCCATAGAGGATACTTATACTTTCCCATTTTTTCTCTCCAGTGGTAACACACACCCTCTGGCAAAGTTAAGCAAAAAAGAGGAAGAACAGCAGTATAAAATATTTTGAAGTACAAATTACAAATAAATTCTACATATAATCGTAAAATAATTCATTTAACTGTCTAAAAGAAATGAAAATCTATGAAAATATGCATGATCAAAATGCTAAGCATTACATATTAAAAACTATAAAAAATGGGTAACAATTTCTTAACAGTTATTCTGAGTGGGTAAATTATGGAAAATGGAAAATGTCTTTCCTTTGCTTGACTTAAATTTTCGAAATGTTCAATTTTGTTTTATTTTATTGTTATTTCTTTCCCCCATGGTCAAGAGAGGCAGAAGGAAAGAGAGAAATGGAGAGACGGCCCCCCGGCAGGGTCTCTGATGCCCTGATCCCTCTCCAGCTTCGGGGTGGGAGACCCAGATCACGGGCACATGCACATGCCCAGGGCACTAGGGGGTGGGAACTCAGACCCGAGGACCTCCCTGTGTGGCTCAGCCTTACGAACATGGCATTTAACTTCTGCACAATGCCTGGCCCCAGAATTTTCTGACATTTCTGCAAAGGACACATATCACTTCTTCACGAAGGACAGTCATTGATTCAACAAGAGGAGAAAGCAAATAATGTGAGTTCATGATAAAAAGGGTCACAACAACAAAAACCACTGAAAACATCATAAATATTCTGTCCATTTCCTCAAAAGCTACATTTGTCTGTGTGTACAGTTAGCGTTGATGGTGGAGGCTCTCAAACTTCCCACAAATAGTCCCATCCCTCTCTATATAAACAGACTCGCATTTCAAATGGAGTGGTGTGCCATTTCAGGTTTAGCAAGTACATGCTGCAGGTACAAAGCTCAGTTCAAAACATTGACCATGCAAGATACGTAACTTCCTTTTTCAATTCAAGATGGCAGCATTTTTTAAAAAGAATTTATTTTGTTTATTTATTAATTATTATTATTTTAATTTGCTGTAGTAACCAGAGAGAGACACAGAGAGGGAAAGTGAGAAAGCAAACTTCCAGGTCTGGGACTCAAACCATGATTAGCCATGTCCCAACCACCATGCCACCTGGCCCCAGGATGAAGCATTTTAATCCCAGTTGCTCTAGGTTTGGACCTAAATTTTAGGGAGTTTACTAAGTGTCACAGTGTCACTCATGGGTGGCCATTCATTTCTCAGTGGAATTGATTCACTGATTGCTTTGTCACATATTGCATTCCAGGCACCTGCTGGCATGTCCATCACTCCATCTCGTCAGTCAGTGAGCTGCAGGGTTAGTTACACCTGGGACCACCTCTGCCCTGGCTATGTGGTGCCTTAGGGGTTGGTGGCTCTCTCTGCTAATGTCATGCTGCCTCTGAGTGCTTCAGAACCATTCTGGTGCTCTGAAGCATCTCTGTCCTTTCAGGGAACCCTGGATATCCCTCCTCTACCAACTGGCCTGGGGGTTCTGTCTCCCCCTGATGTATGCTGTGGGGAGCAGAATGTCAGCCTACTCCTTCCAGACCCTACTGATGTTGTCATCTCCCAGTTCCCTTCCAACACCATAGCTTCCCTCAAATTAGGAAATCATCTTCATCATCTTGGTAAAGCCTTGCTGTTCATTATTTCTTTACCATTTCATAGGAACTTTCTCCTAAAAGAACTCATTTTGTGGGCCAGTAGATGGCATGGTGGTCGAGGTGTCGGACTCCCACATGGCTGACTGTGGTTTGAACCCCAGACCTGGTGACGTGAAACTCCCGCTAGGCACACGTGCATGCCCAAAATCCCGAGAGGAGGATGGGGAAGGGATTGGTGTGTGATCATCCCAAGGGGTAATTTCTTGCTTTCTCTCTCTCTGTCTCTCTCTGCTCTTCCAGAGGGTGCACATGCCCTAAAGCAAAAAAAAAAAAAAAAAAAAAAAAATCTCTCTCTAAAAAAAGAGAAAAAAAAAACCCTTTTATTCTCTTTTCAGCTATCCACTTTATGCCTTTTCTTAGGCAAAGAGCACAGATGGCCTTGATGCATGTATATGGGAGACAGCCAAGGAAAATACTGGTAAAATAAACATTTCGCGGTTCAAAAATAGTTCTGATACAGAAACTGTAGCTCAAATAGCACATGCAGAAAGTGGAACAGCCACACTTCAGGAGGCTGTCTGACCCCAGTTCCTCCTCTGAAAACCATCCCAATACACAGTGGCTGCTGCCAACAGTCACGTGTGTGTGAAGTGACCCTGTCCCCACACTACCATCAGTAGATATTTGACTCAAACTGGGTCGGTCAGATCTGATGCCAGGAACATGTAATTTATTGAGAATCTAGAGACTTACCAACTCACAGGGTGGGGCTCGTGGCCGCATGCTATCCTGATGAAAGCACTCTGGAGGGCAGGCCTTCAGTCTCTGCTGCCAAAGTCCTCAGAGTTGTCCTGCATCCCTTTCTTCAAGCCTTTGTTATTGAGTTCTTCCGTGGGTTTGATGAGATATCCTAGTATATTTCCAATAAATTAATTTTTACATAAGCCGGTGTCAGTTTCTACTACGTCCTGTATCGACAGCATTAATGCAAAATCGAGGACCCCCTGACGCCTGAACATGGGAGAGAAACAGCTTCAATGAAACAGTAGAAAGTGTAACTCAATCACGTATTAATTGAACTGGGAATTTGAGGTTAACTTGATGTCTGTTTAATGGTCCTTGGTTTATCCTTTATTATACTTCTGTGAAAAGATGCATGGCCATGAACATATTCGGGAGAAAGAACCATCAGCAACATTGCTAGAAGACGGAGACTATCAGATGCTAAGGTCAGAAAAAGGCAAGCATTGCATCAGCCATGATGGTATACAGAAAATCCATTGCTGGAGTTTCATACGGATTCTCTGAACCAGTGCTCGTGGCACAGCGGTAGACAGAAACTGAGCAGCCACCCCCAACTGCTCAGTCATTCTCAGAGCTGTTCATAACGGTCACTTCTTCCACTCATGCTGCCCCCGTCAGCCTAGATCTTTCTAAGACAATATAGCAGCCAGGATTCAATAAGATGGGTTGGCACAGAAAGCAATGGGGGTGTCTTCCCACCCACGAATGCATGGCCAGGAACCGCAGCTACAGACAGTGCCAGGCAAGAGAGAGCAGGAAACGCTGTGTGTGGGGGATGCAGGTTTTCACTTCAAACCCCAGACAAAGGACTGCAGGTGGCCTTCAAGTCAGTCCCATAGTTAGGGAACCTGGCAAAGGGAACTGGCCAAGATCCCATAGCTTTGCAGGATATTACAACTGGGGAAACAAACAAAAGGATAAACACAAACCCTGAGCTAGGGAGATGCAAATGGGTCTATTCCTAGAAACTGCCCTAAGAGGGAGACAGGCTGTGAGCAATAGCAAGATTTATACTCGCCCTGTCTGGTGGCTGAGATCCCAGGTGTCCACACAATGCATTTTCTAAACTGGATCACCTCTTGAGTAAAAGGTATTCTTACTGAAGAAGAGGTGCAGTCTGGTACACATCCCTGTCAATGGTCACCCTAACAAGAGTGTCCCCAATGGTTCTTCCCTGATTCAAATTCCGCACTAGAAATAAACCAGCCTGGACCTCCTGAAAAGCAGAAGCAAACCAAAGAAAAAGGAGGAGTTACACGTGATGATCTCATCTGAGAAACCATGTCTGGGGAGTCCTCACAAAGATGCAGGAAAACATAACTTCCATGAAATGAATACAAAACAGGAGCACAAAGGCCAAGCCGAAGGCAGATATGAAAAGGGAGTTGGATGGTTCAAGCTCCTTTGGCAGGAAGAGTTGCTTCCTGCCTGGCATCGGAGATGAAAATGGATACTCCATTGTTCAACACCATTTTACTTCCGATAAACACAGCTACACGTCTGCTGGCAACAGTTTCAGGGTGTGAGCTTTCCAATTGCTCATTCAATATTCCACAGTTTGCACATGCACATGGAATAGCTGAAATCTAGGCTGCTGAAGTAACACAAAGACGAAACACAGAGCAGCGCTGATGGGAAGCACGTCCTGCTCACCCACTGTCCACCACCTCCGGGAGCCGATGTGCTGCTCAGCGGGGTCCTGCCTTCCCAGCTTCTGTCTGCTCTGTGAAACGAGGAAAACAACCTCCTATAACACAAGGTCTCCAATGAAAAAGAGCCACAAACAACACAGAAAAAGTATGTTTTTAAGGCAATTAAAGTGAAGATGACATTTCCAAAGACTGAACTGGCCCCACCAGCCACAGCTGCTTGTCAGTAGGGCACCACTATGCATTACTGGAACCATACAAGAAGGCCCTGGGTTCAGTTCCTGGGTCAGCTTAGACATATCTGGCTGGACACAGTGCTGAAAGGAGAAGTGCGGCATGCTGGGGTTCCCTGTCCCTTTCTTTCTCTCATGACATTTAAAATAAATAAATAAATAAAATAAAAGGGGCCAGAAGGTGGCATAGTAGTTAAGGCACTGATTCGCACATGGCCCACCATGGTTCAAGTCCCAGACTTAGAAAATCATGCCCATATGTGTATATGTACCTAAAATCCTGAGAGGAGAATGAAGGAGAAGGTTTTGGGGAGTGGCCATCCCTCCTGTGGGGATGATTTCTCTCTCTCTCTCTGTTTTACTTCTCTCTATCTCTCTCTGGTGAGCACACATGTCCTATGGTAAAAAATGAAAACAATAAAAGAATACAACTTGATGGGGCCAGCAGATGGCACGGCAGGACATTGCTGGACACCCACATGGCCAGCCACGGTCTGAGTCCTGGACCAGGTGCTTTCAAATTCTTATCGGGCATGTGTGTGTGTATTCCCAAGATCATGGGAGGAGGATGGAAGAGAAGGAACTGCAACACGGCCATCCCCTCAGGGTGTGATTTCTTCACTGTCTCTGTCTCTCTCTCTCTCTCTACCCAGTGAACACAAAGGCAGAACAAAAACCTCTAAAATAAATAAATAATTCTCATTCAAGGAAACTGTTAGTCAGTTATTTTTTCCAGACAGAAATATCTGAGACTGTGTGATTTATAATAAATAGGGGCTTATTTGGCTTATGAGTCTTGCGACTAAAAAGACCAAGAGCATGAAGCTGGTGTCAGACTGACCTTTGGTATTATATGAAGCTGGCATCAGACTGGCCTTTGGTGTTATGGCTGAGAGAAGCAGGCAGGTCAGCAGCCACATGCAGAGAGAAAGAGAGGGAAAGAAGGGAGAGAGAGGGAGAGGAGAAACAAGACTTTTCCATATGCTGTGTGTGTCTTTCACAGCAGATCAGACTGTGCCTTCCCATTAAATCTCACCTTTTAATGACCTTAATGCCTATAGAAGCCATTGCACTGGGGCCCAAGCTTCCAGAATAGGAACCTCTAGGGTTCATTATCTAAACTGCAGCATTCTGCTTTCCCTTTCAGTAGCCCCAAAAGCCTTGTTTCAACACCAACCCAAAAGTCCAAGTCCCACATCTCACCTGAGACTCAGGCTAACTTCTAGCTGTGAGTCTGTAAAATCAAGAAAACACATTGCAATTTCCCAGATATAATGATGGGCAGGCATAGTGCAGGAATTGTCATGCCGCGAGAAGAGAGTAACAGACCCTGAGCAAGTCTAAAACCCAAAAGGGCAGACGCTAGGTCTTGTAGCTTGAAAACAATCTCCTTTGGCTCTGTTTTATATTCTCCAGTAGGGTTTGGCCCCAAGGCCTGGGCAGCCATGCCCACTGGTTTGCTGGTTGAAGCCCATACGAATGCTTGCACTTGGAGACCAGTGCTTGTAGCTCTTCCAGGTGGCCATTGTACGCTGCTGGCATAGTTCTGAGGCCTTGAGGGTGGGCCTGTACTTGCGGCCCTACTAGGCATAGCTGTCCTGATGGGTTCTCTTTGCTATGACCCCACATTTCCACTGGGCACTGCCTCGAAGAAAACTCTTTGTGGCTCCTTCCCTGCAGCTGGTCTCAGCCTAAGGTTTTAGGCATTTTGATGCATTCTTTGAGAGCCTTTGAAATCTAGTTTGAGGCTACCAGGGGCCTCGCACCTCTTGTGTACTGCATGCCTGTAGAATTGGCACCATGTGCAGCCTCACATAGACATGGACGCCTTAGCCTATTATCTGCACCTTCCTGAATGGCAACTTGAGCTACACCCGGGGCTGACTGAACCACGCTAGAGTCACCAGGTACTGCACCAGGATGCAGGCAGTTACAGGCTACACAGGGCAGTGTGTACACCACTGACCTTTCCCAGGACATGTTCTGCTCTCTTAGTGCTCTCTGCTGGCTGGGGCAGCCCTGTAGATTTGTGAGGTGCCCTTGGGGCCTTCCTACCACCATCTTTGTTAGTAGCATCTGGCTCTCTATCAGAGCAAATATCTTCCACAAGGAGTAGTTCAGCCATACACTTAGCGTTCATTTATTTATTTTTATTAAACATGCTATCCTTTCTTTATGTGATAAGGCTGAGAATTTTCCCAATCTTTTTACTCTGTTTACGTTTTCTCCTAAATTTCACTAATGCAGCTGAAAAATACCTAAGCAGAAGCCTGAGCACTTTACGGTTTAGACAATTTTTTCTGTTAAAGAATTGAATCACCATTCTTAAACTGCAACTTCCATATCACCTCAGGAGATACAAAGTGTTCAAATTTTTTGCAACTTCATAACAAGGGTGACTTTTCTCCAGCTCCCAATAATTTCTTCACTTCCATCTGACACCTCCTCACCTCCCCCTTTTTTTTGGAGAGATTTTTGCTATAGGGCAAGGGCACGTTTGCTTCAGGAGAGACAAAGGTAGAGACACAGAAAGCAAGAAATCATCTTTCAGAGGAAATGATCACACAGCAATTCCTTCTCCGCCATTCTCCTCTTAGGGTTTTGGGCATGCACGCATGCACATGCACACACACACACACACACACACACACACACTCAGCATGAGTTTTAAGTCACTGGTTCTGGGACTCAAACCATGGTTGACCCTATGGGAGTCCAGCACCTTAACCACTACACCACCTGCTACCCCCCCCATACACTTTTCCCGCCCCTTTTGTTAATAAGATTTGTTTTTATAGCCATTAACCAATCTCTATAGAATTTTAGTCCATTTCTGAACTGTTCTTCCAAATCTTCACCAGAATCTAGGCCTTTTCTACCTTCTTTCTCCAAATTCTTACAACTTCTGCTTGTTACCAGTTCTAAAGTTACTTCCACGTTTTTAGATTATCTGTCTAGCAAACACCCTGCTTTCTGTGCCCATTTCCTGTCTTAGTTTGTTGTTTTGCTAAACAGAAACTTCTTAGACTAAGTGACCTATAATTAAAAGAGGCTTATTTGGCTATGATTCTGGTGTTTGTGAAGTCCAGAAGTAGGGGGCTGGCATCTGACTGTTTTTTAGTGCTAAGTAACAACATGACCAAGGAAGATAGGTAGGTCAGTAGCTATTTGTGTGTGGGGGGGGCGGGGGGAGAGAACAGATTTTTTCACTTCACCTTCACCTGTTTGCCTTCCCACACTCTCAGCTGATTGGATGGTACTCCCATTATGTCCTACCTCTTAAGGGTCTCACAGCATCCCAAAGCCATCACACTAGAGACCAAACTTACAGAACATAAACTTCTGAGGGACAAATCATTATTCAAACCATACCATATATGTACTATAGAATCCCAAAATAGGAAGATGATTACAGTAATAGAATCATTTATAATATTAATGACAGAATACTCTACATTGAGCATTCACTATGTGTCTACTTGCCATGTCTCATTGCTCACCACAATGGTAAGCAGATGTAATATCTGCATTTTACAAATGAAGAGACATTAACTTACTTGCCTGGGTTTGCCTAGTCAGTGAATGGTAGATCTGATTTGTATTCACATCCAGCCAATCTGAGGCCATGTTGTTAAGAGACACGTCAAACTTCTCAAAGAGTATTAGCTCAGAGAAGTGTCTAAACAGAATAGCCCTCAATCTGAAGACGCCCTCGTGTACACATTGAACATGTAAGTCTGTGGTCTGTGCAGTGGACATGACAGAGCACCATGAAGAGAGCAGCTTAAGGGAATCAGCAGTTAGCGTAATGGCTATGTTGCTGGACTCCCACGTAGTCGACTGCGGTTCGCGTCCTGGACCCAGTGGCTTAAAAACTTACGCCACGCGCGTGTGCGTGCGTGACCAAGATCCCGAGAGGAGAATGGAGGAAAGGAATTGCGGCGTGACCATCCCCCCTGGGGGGTGATTTCTCGCTTTCTGTTTCTCTGTTTCTCTCTGTCTGTCTGGCAAGCGCACGTGCCCTATAGTGAAAAACCTCTCCAAAAAAAAAAAAAAAAAAAAGAACAGCTTAACTGGGAAATTGTTCCTTTGGGAATGTGACCCCAAGAGCAATGTGTACTTTGTGCTAATAAATCAGAATACATTTATGATAAATATAATTAACTTCCTGCTTATCCATTGTTAGTTGGCTTTCTGCAGTGAAATAGTATTAGATTTCATTTTTTATAAATACACATTTTGGACCAGCAGGTGGTGTGGTGGTTAAGGGCACTGGACTCCCACATGGCCGACCACGGTTCAAGACCCAGACCTGGCGGCTTGCTTTCTCACTTTCCATCCCCCTTTCTCTCTGTTCCTCTTTGGTCAAATTAAAGTAAAATAAATAAAGATAAATAAAATAATTCTTAAAAAAATACATATTTCCCCCCCAGGAGCCTACATATAATGCTAAAATAAATTTAAGTAACTGTCAAGCAGGAGATTCAAAGACTCTAATTCAGAGGGAGGGTAGAGCTGCCTTTGTATTTGGTGTAGATAACCTAAATACAGTTTTGAAATTCTATATGAGACATTGCCTTTCGCTGCATACACTGAACAAGTAGACAGCTGATAAGCACACCACTTACAGCCATTTTTGTATTAGTGAGAGCCAACATTTAAAACTCCAGTACATAGAGCATGGATGTGTTCTCACTGTGTCAACTCAAGGAAGTAAAGGTATACTCTGACTGCAATATATGTCCCAGAAACCTGTTCACATGGAGAACGGTATGGTATGATAGAGGTCACTCAGCAGTCCGACCTTTCCCTTTCTTGGGTAGTGGGAGGCCTCGAGAGCTGCAGTTCTCACGAGCAGCAGAAGTGCAGCAATCCTCACTGGAGTTCGACAGACTAGAAGCAGATGTGGCACAAGTCTCCCCATACAGCTTCTGCGAGCCTGTTCCACCGTCGCCTCTCAGTTTGTCTACACTGGGGATTTCCTGAGCTAAGAAGACCGTGAGGCAAAATAAATAGGCATCTTTCTTTCAACATATTAAATAAAAGTGTATGACTTGATGGAGTGGCTGCAAGTCAAGGTCACTTGCTTTTTAAAATGTGGCCTTTCAGAGTGAAGGTGAACTTCAACATCTGGAAATAGTCTGAAAAGTAAATCACTGCTCAACTGAAGCATTAAATGGCAAACGTTTTTGGCAAGTGGTCTCTCCTAGTTACTTAGAAATGAAATCTTGGCAGACCACAAACTTATTGCTTTCGTATAGGATCAGCACATAACTTGTTGTATTCCTAGGACGATTTTGCTTAAATTTTTAAGGATTTTCTGTGAGTGTAAGGTGAAGTGGAGATGACAGGCATTGCAGGTTTTACTAGTTGATTTAGCAGCCGATATTCAAAGGTAGAACTGCAGGAAGTCATGACATTTTACAGGAAATTTTCCTTACATACTTAGTTAAAAAGCTTATTCTTTCCACAAAACCACAATCAAAGCAAAAAAGTCTGTAAAAACTTCTATCTGACAGAAGTAGAAAACTCTACAAAGAATAACAGACAATACAAGAACAAAATAAATTGCACAAATTCACATTCATTTGAAAGTCATGATGTAGTAGAATGGGAACTCCCTTTTAACCCTCCCTCCTCCCAAAAAAGAGAAAAACAAACAAGAAACAAACAAAAAGCTTTCTGTTCTTGGTTTTGATAAATCTCTGGGTTTAGAAAGGGTGATTTCTAATCACTATGTTTATAATAAATGGCAAAATTTCCGTGTGTGTATGTGTGTGTGTCTATGTATTGTCTTCTCTGTGAAACCCTTTGGCTAACATAAAAAATTTAGGATGTAGAAAAATCTTTTTACTTGAAGTTTATTAATTTAATTAACGATAGCATATGTGTGTGAAAGAGAAGTGAGAAACACCCTTGACAGGGTCTCATCACACCACTATCCCCTTCCCCTGACCATCTGACTCATCAGGATCTTAAGCATGTTTACAGACACCTCATGTACTTTAGGTCAACCTGGGGATCCAAACCTGCAGTCAGCCATATGACTTCCAGCACTGCAGTCCAGTTTGCTACTGAGTGTACCACTGGGCTGGGCCACCTTGTTTAGGGGGTGAGGGAGGGATAGAAAAAGAAAGAAAATAATAAAAAATCATAAACAGAATGGTACTAACTATAATAATAACGATGATGCAATAATACGTTAACATAAGTATACCAGGGAAAACGTATTTATAAACAAATAAACCAAGGGATCTGAATGAGGTACTAAAGCAAATTTTATTAACCTTATTTTGTTTGTGTATTTTTAATTAATAGCTCTTTAGAAGAAGACTTTAGGAGTACTCTTTAAACTAACATGTATGCTGGGACTTCCTCTGAAAAAGAACTCAAATCAACAAGAATTATAGATATTTTCCTGTCTGCATAGGAGCCTTCCTTCAATGATTCATTCTGTTATTTTGGTAGCCTTACTGAATTGGTAAGAAAATATTTAAGATGGATAAAAACTCATTTTCTTAGGAAGAAGGACATATTTCCCCAAATTTTGTAATACCCATTGGGCATGTGTAAGGAAGTGAAATAATCTTTTACCACATGTGTATCCCAGTAAGAAACAAAATGACGGTCTGTTCTTAGTAAAAAGATGGCAGGAGGGATTCCTGCATCACCTCTGAAGAAATATCTCACAATCGAAACCAACTTGTCCTTCTCTATAGAATGTTCAACAGTAAGAACATCAACCATCTACACAATAATCTAACTTTGAAGAACATTGTGATTGTATTTATGTATCTCGGAGAACATCTTTATGCTAAAATTTAGATATTATTGCAATAATGTGAATGGCTTTGCCCCTCAGAGTTGATGGGATTTAGGAGAGTTCATAAGTTTGGACAAAATATGTCAAACAGTCATTTTACTTAATAAAGTTTCCACATCTATTTTGAATCTTCCACCAGGGGCCTTTAAAATCAAGACAAATCTATTTTTTCATATCTTAAATGAATGAAAAAAAAGGATTCGTATTAAATGACACTTAATACATGTAGACATGTATTAAATTCTAACATGAACTGCATTAGTGATCAAATTGTCATTTGTTTCACATGGGCTAATTTTCTCTGTCTGGTTATCTACTAATTCAGTGCAAATTTTGTCAGAAGAAATATTAATTAGCATTCAATGAATGTTTAACCAAAGGATAAGAAAATTAGTGTAACTGAGTATTCAATTTAGCCAGGGCAAAAAAGACATCATAATAAGTTTATATGCTCATTACATCATTAAAAATATATCTTCAAGGGAAAAAGCATTTTCCTGGCCACATCCCATAGACAAACACTGCCATATAAATTTTGCACTCGACAAACATTTGAGTGCTTCTTTGTACCAAGTCTGTTAAGTTAGATGTGGACATATCAGTGTATAAAATAGTTAAAACTGTCTTGGGTTTTTGGAAATAGATGACAAACGACAAACAAAATATGTAGGATATTGGATGATACTATGGAGAAAATTACAAAAGAAGTAGCATAGGTTGAGGGTTTTGCTTTCCAGAATGATCCTGCAAGTCCTCCTTGGGAGATGACACGTGAATGAAAGTGTGAAGGGCTGGAGAGGATGCATCCTCTAGAGAGTGTGTGTTTAGGATAAAGCAAGCAGCAAATGCACATGCCTGAGGCAAGTACAGCAATGCCATTTGGTAACCTTCCACACTACCTATAAGACAATGTCCTTATAGAGAGGTTAAAGTAAAATGAGCCCATAATATTTCATAGAGAGATATTTCTTCCATTTACTGAGTGGATAATTTATTTGGGAGTAGCACCGAAGGACTCCCATGTAGCTGTCTGCTGCTCGAGTCCCAGATCCACAGGACTTAAAACTCATGCTGGGTGTGTGTGCGTACATGTCCAAAATCCCAAGAGGAGAATGGAAGAGAAGGGACTGTGGTGTGGCCATTTCCCCTGGAGGGTGATTTCTTGCTTTCTGTCTCTGTCTCTTTGGCAAGTGCATGTACCCTATAGCAAAAATCTCTTAAATTTTTTTTTTTAATTTGTGCAAAGAAAATTGGGATTTGCTTAATAATCAAGAATGCCTTGGTGGATTCAAGCTTTTCAGTAACAAGACACGATTTGACTTTAAAAGATTTCAAAAAGGCAGGTGGTATAATGGTTACGTCACTGGTCTCCCATGTAGTCGACTGTGCTTCAAGTCCCAGACCTAATGGCTTAAAACTAATGCTGGGTGCATGTGCGTGTGTGTGTGAGCAAAATCCCGAGAGGAGAATGGAGGAAAAGGGATTGAGCATGGTCATCCTCCCTGGTGGGTGATTTCTCGCTGTCTCTCTGGTGAGTACATGCACCCTATAGCAAAAAATCTTTCTAAAAAAATTAATAATAGGTTTCAAAGAGGACCATCTCTGTAACCCAGTGTTCAAGGGAGCTGGATCCACATGGCCAATCATGGTTCAAATCTTGGCTCCAGTGGTTTGAAAAACACACTGGGCACATGTTCATGCCCCAAATCCTAACAAGATGGAGAAATGGAGAAAGAACTGCCATGTGACCATGTCCCACTGGGGGTACTTGCTTCCTTCCCTCTCTCTCTCCTTTGCTGTCTCTCTGTCTGCCTCTGGCAAGTGCACAAGCCCTCTGGCAATTAAAGAATTTCACTAGATTCCAGTTAGCTGTGAATCATGCTACAATTTCTCCATCTCAATGCAATATCATTTAAAAATATTTACCTAGAGTAGCTGAATGTGCTGATGTGATGCATATAAAGTTAGTTAGTGGTTAATGTTGGAAGACTCTGAGGCTCATTCTCTGTCCTCTTCTTGTGTCTGACTATGGTTACATAATTGGTGACCTCAACTCCTATGAGAGCTGTAAATTCCACCTCCGCCTGCCACACAAACAAAAGTTCACCCAGGTCTTTCCTTCCTGATCTTAACATCCATATATCTAACTAGCTCTTGACAGCACTGTTGGGAGGTTTCATGATCAGCGTTTAGAAAATTGAAATCCTGAATACTCCTCCCTACATCTGTCTCACCCACAGCCTTCCCTGTCTCATGTGATGGCAACATCATCCCTTCCCCATCCATGGACTCCTCTCCCTCTTGGACACCCCACATCCAATCTACCTGCTGGCCCTGCCTTAAACAGCCAGAATATATCCCCTTCTCAGCACTTTTCCCACCAGGCTCATCCATAATGTTCAAATAGAGGTACATGTGCGCACACACACATGTGTATGCATGCGTGTGCACTGACACACACATTCTTGTCTAAATCTTTAAGAGAGTTATAAGGCAAACTAACAAATTATTAAATAAAAAAAGTTTTCTCTACCTCCTTGACAAGTACACCCTTATAATGATGGACAGGCCAGGTTCCATAGAGTCTGGACTCCTTCACTTTCCATTATAGAATATATATTGGTAGTGGTGGTGGGAGCAGCCTGGCCCAGAACCCCTCTCCGCATCCCTCCCTGTCTCTGTGTGCACTCGCATGGATTCCCTGCCCTACGCAGTCACACTCCACACACGTGTCCTAACAGTCTGGGCTGGCCACTCAGCAGTATCAGGTATGCATGTGGGCTGCACGGTCTTCCCCGTATTATAACTATTGACACGTAAAGACTGGTCTCTGCCCTCTTATTTCACACCTTTAGTTACTGTATTTCATGTCCTTTTTCTTCCCTTTTTTAAAACACAAAAACAAAAACAAAAAACTGTCTTCTGAACAGATCAAAATTCTCTGCTATATCCAAAAGTCACAGATTCTTACTTTGTTCTTATTTCACATCAGACTGTTTCTGGCTTATACTTAGGCTTTCATTACCTGTCATTGATTCACGATTATTACTACCGATACCTTTCCTCAGACTAACTGAAGAAGCTTCCAGGTCCTCATATGGTTGGGAAGGGCCTAGGGATGTGGGGTTCCAAGAACCCTACATTTTGGATGTGAGCATGCCACGGTCCATGCCTAGCTCATAAGCCCCAGGCTAAAGCAGTCAGTGCACGGGAGGCATGGCTGCCAGTTCTAACCAGGCCCCACCCTCCACACCCAGAAAGCACCCGGGAGAGGCCCACTATGAGCACAGACAGAATACTAGAATCTGTGTCTCCCAGGACCTCCAGCTCTCTTCTCAGGGACCCATCCTCTTCCTGTGCCCAACACACAAACTGAGATCCTATTATCTTTTGTTTCCTGCCTCATTTTGCTTATCTGCGGTACAGACGTTGCTCTGCATTTATGAACTGCTTCATCTCTCTCCCGGAATCTTCAGAGATGGGGTCGGGAAAAGAGGGAGCCATCTCTGTTTCACTTTACTATCTCCCACACTAACACTTTATGCACCAGAGGGGCCAATACGTGGCCCAACATATATTGGGAATGAAACTGGAAATAAGTACTACCTCCAAACTACTAGTCACTAGGGAACATGTAATGCCACTATCCAGAAAGCATTATAACAAACTTGTTTTAAGAAATCTTCTTCATGGGCTGACTCTGTAGCCTGGTCGTTAAGGCAGCCAGATCCTGCATGGTCAACCATGCTGTTCTGGATCTGGACCTGGTAATTTGAGAAACATAGTAGGTGTGTGTATGCCCAAAATCCCAAAAAGAGGGAGAAAGGTAGAGAAGGGATTATGGTATGACCATCCCCATGAAGGATACTTTTGCCTTTCCTCTCTCTCTCTGTCTATTTCTCTCTGACAAGCACAAACACCCTCTCTGAAAAAAACAAAACAAAACAAAACAAAAAAACCGCTCTATTTCTTTTCTTTTTTTGTTGTTGAGGTTTTTGCTATAGGGCACGTGTGCTCGCCAGAAATACAGAGAGAGACAGAGAGACAGAAAGTGAGAAATCACCCCCTGGGGGGATGGCCACGCCACAATCCCTTCTCCTCCATTCTCCTCTTGCCATCTTGGGCATGCACCCACACACGCGCCCAGCATGAGTTTAAGCCATCAAGTCCGCGACATGAACCACGGTCGACTGAGTGGGAGTCCAGCAACATAGCCACTATGCCAACTGCTGGTCCCAGAAGAACTCTATTTCAAAATCAGTTTATTCAAAAGAGAT